CATTGGTAATACAATTAGATTCTTAGTTGCACTCTGTATTTTGTCCTTAGATACTTCCATAACCTAAATAATTTAATTTGTGTAGATTGTGATTTGTTCTTTGTGCTTTAAAATTCTGTGGGTTTAAATATATACATAGTGTTGGATATCCACCACTAAAGTACCAGAATACTTAAAATCCCCACCCCAGTCACTCATCTGATTATCATCTCTGTAGCTGTGCCTTTTCCAGAATGTCTGATGAATGGAGTCATATAATGTATAGCATCTTCATGCTGCCACCCTTCACTTAGCAACATACATGCAAGATTCATTCATTTATTTTCAGGTGTTGAAAGTTCATTCCTTTTTGTTGCTGAATTGTATTCCATTGCATTGTTGTACTTCAAGTTAATTATGCTAGTTTTTGTTTGAAAGCAATTTTTCAAAGCATCTGTCTAAACATATACATTTTAGGGGCGCATTTGTCGGATTGTAGGTAAGCCTTGTTTATCTTTGGGAAAAACTGCCAAACTATCTCCCAAAGTGGCTGTACAATTGATGCATTCTGCTAACAGTGAATGACAGTACCTGTTGTTCTTCAACCTCCAGTTATTGTTGAGCTTTTCTTAGAGTCTTATAGTTCTACTAGGTGTGCAGTGATATCTCTGCATTATTTTAATTTGCAGTCTCCTAATGAGACATGATGTTGAACATCCTTTTGTGTAATTATTTGCTATCTGTATATTTTCCGTGTTTTTTTTTCTTTTTTTAAGACAACATCTTGCTGTGTCATTCAGGCTGGAGTGTGCAATTGTGTGATCTCAGCTCACTGCAACCTCTGCCTCCTGTGTTCAGGCAATTCTTTTGCCTCAGCCTCCCAAGTAGCTGGGGTTACAGGTGCCTACCACCATGCCTGGCTAACCTCCAGGTTTGGAGTTATTTTTCAGCATTGGTTTGGTTTTTCAGGATTCCTTGAAATTCCATATAAACATTAGGATCAGCTTTCCCATTTCTGTCCCAAGGCCTTTGGGATTTTCATAGGAATAACATTGAATCTGTGGATTGCTTTGTGGAGTTTGGCAAACTTTAACAAATACGGTCTTCAAATCCATGAACATGACATGTTTTTACATTTATTTGGGCTTTGTTTAATTTCCTTAAGCAATGTCTTATAATATCCCCCTTTTAAGTCTTACCCTTTGATTACGTTTATTCCTAAGCATATTATTGCTATTGGTATTATTTATAGTGAAATTTTTATAATTTTGTTTTCAGATTATTCATTGCTAGTGTATATGTATAAAATGGATTTTTTGGCCAGGGACAGTGGCTCACACCAATAATCCCAGCACTTTTAGAGGCTGAGGCAGACAGATCACCTGAGGTCAGGAACTGGAGACTAGCCTGGCCAACATGGTGAAAACCTGTCTCTACTAAAAATACAAATTTAGCTGGGCATGGTGGCATACGGCTGTAATTCCAACTTTATTGAAAGCCGATTCTCAGCAACAGCTGAGAAAATTTTGGGATGTTTTCCATTCATTCTAACAATACTGTGTGTTACATGAATGGTATTAGTGTGTGGAACCACCGTTGATTTACTGGGATAAAAAATCGTGTTCATGGTGTTTGATCCTTTCAAATTGCTGTTCGTTTTAATATGCTATTATTTTGTTGAAGATTATTAAGTCTATATTTTTGAGGTTATAGATTAGTCCTTGAAGTGGCATAGCACTGACTAGGATATATCAGGATGAGATTGTGTATAGACTGCAGTTTGTATTTACAGAGTTAGTGTGTCAGGGTATTATAAAATTAAGAGATGGGTTGAAGGGTTCAGAGTTTACGAATTGAAGATTATGGCATAAGGACTTCAAGTAGGAGATTCAGGTTGGTGGTTGGGAGCTGCATAGTAAGACATTAGAGGGAGAGATCAGGTGAGTAACCAGGGTTAGATTGAGAGGTCAGGATTACAGTGAAGAGTTAGGGTGAAAGGGCAGTGAGGTTTAGGATTAGGGTTACAGTAAAGGTTTGAGTAGGTTCAGATTAAGGTTAGAATTAGAGTGGGTAAAAGTAAAGTTAGAAATTATGGTTGAGGGTTACCATAAGGTTAGCTTTAGAGATAAGGGTAATCAGAGTAGGGTTAGGGTTAGGGTTAGGATTGGGCTTAAGGGTTAGGGTTAGGGGTTAAGGAACATCTCTTCACTTATTTATATTTCTTTTGGTTTCTCTCAACTGTGATTCATGGTTTTCTGAATGCAAATTTGCATACATTTTGTTACACTCATACTTAATGGATTCAACTTTAGAGGTGCTATTGTAAATGGCATTTTAATATTTCCAGTTCCAATTATTTCCATTTGTTATTACTGATATGAAGAAATGCAACTGACTTTTGCCTACTGGACATCTTTTTTAGTTTTTAAAATCTCCGTTCTGGCCAGGCATGGCGGTTCACACCTGTAATCCCAGGACTTTGGGAGGCCGAGGTGGGTGGATCACCTGAGATCAGGAGTTTTGAGACCAGCCTGGCCAACATGGTGAAACCTTGTCTCTACTAAAAATACAAAAATTAGCAGGAAATGGTTGCATGTGCCTGTAATCCTAGCTACTAGGGGGCTGAGGCAGAAGGATCACTTAAATCTGGGAGGTGGAGGTTGCAGTGAGCTGAGATCATGCCACTGCACTCCAGCCTGGGCAACAGAGCAAGACTCTGTTAAAAAAAAAAAAACAAAAACAAAAAAACCTCCATTTGTTCCATCAAGGCATGGGATGGTGGGCTCGATTTCAGTTAAAATTTCGAAAGTCACAGCCTGCGATAATCTGAACACTGATTTTACGAGATTCCCCAGGGCTTCTGCCAGGGGATGCCCAGCTCCTGCCAAACCAGGAATGTGCATGGGAACCACAGTGGATTCCTCACTGGTGCCCTGGGGCTTCAACCCTGAGGAAGGAGCCTCCTTCTCCTCAGGACCTGCCACCCGGGAGATACCGTGGTTCAGGACAGTCAGTCACCAGGTGAAGGAAGGAGGAAAATGCTTCCTGTCAGCAGCCGCAAGTGCTGAGGAGGGAGCACTGCCATGGGCCGTACTTCCCTGTCACAGTCTACGCAGCTTGTTGTAAAATGGTGTCCCTTCTGCCTGATGTTGACTGCTTGTCATGACAGCTGAGTGCAGCTTGTCTTACAGATCCAGGCTTGTTTCTGGGGAGAGATCCTGGTGCTGAGAAAGGAGTGACAATGAGCAGTGCCATCAGGACGGGCAGGGGGAGTGGTGGCTGGGGACCCACAGGTGCTGCAGGGTCACAGACACTTTCACTCATGTTTTAATAGCTCATTTGTCTCACAGCATTAAAGTAGTTGAAACAGTATGGATATATTTAACAGAAGGCCACATGATAACTAGAAACGTTAAGTTCAAATATATTGTTTATACCTCTCCACACAAAATAACATATATCAAATACTAATGTATAAATATGTAAAGATTATGAGGTGAACAAAGTATAGATTTTGCTTGAGAATCTGGGGAGGGGATATGATGTCTTCGACCCTTTTCTATACCTGCCAGAGTATAGGAACTGCAGGAGCAGTTCTTTTGTTTGAGGGCCGCACAGCTGTGGATCTAAGCAGAAGCAGTTCTTTTTGTTCTTTGAGGGCTGCACAGCTGTGCACGTGGGCAGGAGTAGTTCTTGTTGTTGTTTGAGGGCCACACAGCTGGGGATCTGGGCAGGAGCAGTTCTTACTTTAGTTTGAGGGCCACACAGCTGTGGACCTGGGCAGGAGCAATTCTTTTTGTTGTTTGAGGGCCAAACAGCTGCGGATGTGGGTAGGAGCAGTCCTTTTTGTTGTTTGAGGGCCACGCAGCTGTGGACCGGTGCATGAGCAATTCTTAGTTTAGCTTGAGGGCCACACAGCTGTGGACCTGGGCAGGAGCAGTTGTTTTTGTTGTTTGAGAGCCGCACAGCTGTGCACCTGGGCAGAAGCAGTTCTTTTTGTTTGAGGGCCATGCTGGTGTGGACCTGGGCAGGAGCAGTTCTTTTTGTTGTGTGATGGCCGCACAGCTGCGGACCTGGGCAAGAGCAGTTCCTTTTTTAGTTTAAGGGAGAGGCAGGTGTGGACCTGGCCAGGAGCAGTTCTTACTCTAGCTGGAGGACTGCGCAGCTGGGGATCTGGGCAAGAGTGGTTCTTACTTTAGTTTGAGGACAGCAAAGCTGTGGACGTGGGCAGAAGCAGTTCTTACTTTGCTTTGGGGCCACACAGCTGTGGACCTTGCCAGGAGCAGTTCTTGTCGTTTGAGGGCCGGGCAGCTTGGTATCTGGGAAGGAGCAGTTCTTACATTATTTTGAGTGCCACACAGCTGTGGACCTTGCCAGGAGCAGTTCTTTTTGTTGCTTAAGGGCTACACAGCTCTGGACCTGGGCAGGAGCAGTTCTTTTTGTTGTTTGAGGGCCACGCAGCTGTGGACCTGGGCAGGAGCAGTTCTTTTTGTTGTTTGAGGGCCACGCAGCTGTGGACCTGGGCAGGAGCAGTTCTTTTTGTTGTTTGAGGGCCACACAGCTGTGGACCTGGGCAGGAGCAATTCTTTTTCTTGTTTGAGGGCCACGTAGTTGTGGACCTGGGCAGGAGTAATTCTTGCATTTTGGGGACCACGCAGCTGGGTATCTGGGCCGGAGCGGTTCTTACTTTAGTTTGAGGGCCACACAGCTGTGGACCTGGGCAGAAGCAGTTCTTTTTGTTGTTTGAGGGCCGCACAGCTGTGGACCTGGGCAGGAGCAGTTTTTTTTTGTTTAAGTTCTTTAGATTGAGGGCCACACAGCTGCGGACTTGGGCCACACTAGTTCTTACTTTACTTTCAGGGCTGCGCAGATGTGGACCTGGGCAGGAGCAGTTCTTTTTGCATTTTGAGGACCACGAAGCTGGGGATCTGGGCAGGAGCAGTTCTTACTTTAGTTTGAGGGCCACACAGCTGTGGACCTGGGCAGGAGCAGTTCTTTTTGTTGTTTGAGGGCTGCACAGCTGTGGATCTAAGCAGAAGCAGTTCTTTTTGTTCTTTGAGGGCTGCACAGCTGTGCACGTGGGCAGGAGTAGTTCTTTTTGTAGTTTGAGGGCCACACAGCTGTGGACCTTGCCAGGAGCAGTTCTTTTTGTTGTTTGACGGTGGGGTAGCTTCATATCTGGGCAGGAGCAGTTCTTACGTTAGTTTGAGGGCCACACAGTTGTGTCTCCCTCAAACTAAAAAAGAACTGCTCCTGCCCAGATTTGCAGCCGTGCAGCCCTCTAACAACCAAAAGAACTGCTCCTGCCAAGGTCCACAGCTGTGTGGTACTTAAACTGCAAGAAGAACTACTCCTGTCCAGATCCCCAGCTGTGCAGCCCTCAAATTTAAGTAAGAACTGCTCCTGCCCAGATCCCCAGCTGCGCAGCCTTCAAACTAAAGTAAAAACTGCTCCTGCCCAGGTCCACAGCTGTGTGGCCCTCAGACTAATGTAAGAACTGTTCCTGCCCAGATATCAAGCTGCCTGGCCCTCAAACAACAAAAAGAACTGCTCCTGCCCAGGTTCACAGCTGCTTCTCCCTGAAACTACAAAAAGAACTGCTCCAGCCCTGGTCTGCAGCTGTGCGGCCCTATAACAACAAAAAGAACTGCTCCTGCCAAGGTTCACAGCTGTGTGGTACTTAAACTGCAAGAAGAACTACTCCTGCCCAGATCCCCAGCTGTGCAGCCCTCAAATTTAAGTAAGAACTGCTCCTGCCCAGGTCCACAGCTATGTGGCCCTCAATTTAAAGTAAGAACTGCTCCTGCCCGGATCCCCAGCTGTGTGGTCCTCAAAATGCAAAAAGAACTGCATTTTCTCAGGTTCACAGCTGTGTGGCCCTCAAACTAATGTAAGAAAGGCTCCTGCCCAGGTCCACATTTGCGCAACCTTGACAGTAAAGTAACAACTGCCATAGCCCAAGTCCGCAGCTGTGCAGCCCTCAAACTGAAGAACTGAAACAACAAAAAGAACTGCTCGGGCCGGGCGCGGTGGCTCACGCCTGTAATCCCAGCACTTTGGGAGGCTGAGGCGGGTGGATCACGAGGTCAAGAGATCAAGACCATCCTGGTCAACACGGTAAAACCCCGTCTCTACTAAAACTACAAAAAATTAGCTGGGCATGGTGGCACGTGCCTGTAATCCCAGCTACTCAGGAGGCTGAGGCAGGAGAATTGCCTGAACCCAGGGGGCGGAGGTTGCGGTGAGCCGAGATCGCGCCATTGCACTCCAGCCTGGGTAACAAGAGCGAAACTCCGTCTCAAAAAAAAGAACTGCTCGTCAAACTACAACCACGCTGCTAGTGATCTGGCAAGAGGATTTCGTTTTGTCCTTTGAGGGCCACGCAGCTATAGACCTGGGCAGGAGCAGTTCTTTTTTTTTTTTTTTGAGACGGAGTTTTGCTCATTACCCAGGCTGGAGTGCAATGGTGCGATCTTGGCTCACCGCAACCTCTGCCTCCTGGGTTCAGGCAATTCTTCTGCCTCAGCCTCCTGAGTAGCTGGGATTACAGGCACGCACCACCATGCCCAGCTAATGTTTTGTATTTTTAGTAGAGATGGGGTTTCACCATGTTGACCAGGATGGTCTCGATCTCTTGACCTCGTGATCCACCCGCCTCCGCCTCCCAAAGTGCTGGGATTACAGGCTTGAGCCACCGTGCCCGACCAGGAGCAGTTCTTTTTGTTGTTTGAGGGCTGCACAGCTGCGGAACTGGGCTGGAGCAGTTCTTTTTTAGTTTGAGGGAGACGCAGGTGTGGACATGGGCGGGAGCAGTTCTTACTTTACTTTGGGGCTACACAGCTGTGGATCTTGCCAGGAGCAGTTTTTTTGTTGCTGTTGTTTGAGGGCCTGGCAGCTAGGTTTCTGGGCAGGAGCAGCTCTTTCTGTTGTTTGAGGGCTGCACAGCTGTGGCCCTGGGCAGGAGCAGCTCTTTTTGTTGTTTGAGGGCCGCACAGTTGTGGACCTCGACAGGAGCAGTTCTTTTTGCATTTTGAGGACCACGCAGCCAGAGATCTGGGCAGGAGCAGTTCTTACTTTAGTTTGAGGGCCACACAGCTCTGGACCTGGGCAGTAGCAGTTCTTTTTGTAGTTTGATGACCACATAGCTGTGGACCTGGGCAGGAGCATTTCTTATGTTACTTTGCAGCCACACAGCTGTGCACCTGGGCAGAAGCATTTCTTTTTGTTGTTTGAGGGCCGCACAGCTGTGTATGTGGTTAGGAGCAGTTCTTACTTTACTCTGGGGCCACACAGCTGTGGATCTTGCCAGGAGCAGGGTTTTTTTTTGTTGTTAGAGGGCCGGGCAGCTAGGTATCTGGGCAGGAGCAGTACTTTTTGTTGTTTAAGGGCCACACAGTTGTGGACCTGGGCAGGAGCAGTTCTTTTTGTCATTTGAGGGCCACACAACAGTGGACCTTTCTAGGAGTAGTTTTGTTGTTTAAAGGCTGGGCAGCTTGGTATCTTGGCAGGAGCAGTTCTTACGTTAGTTTGTGGGCCACAGAGCTGTGAACCTTGGCCCAAACAGTTCTTTTTGTTGTTTGGGGGCCGCACAGTGGTGGACCTGGGCAGGAGCAGTTCTTTTTGGTGTTTTTGGCCCACGCAGCTGTGGACCTTGGCAGGAGCCATTCTTTTTGTGTTTTGAGGGCCACCTAGCTGTGGACCTGGGCAGAAGGAGTTCTTTTTGGTGTTTGAGGGCTGCACAGCTGTGGACCTGTGCAGGAGCATTTCTTTTTGGTGTGTGAGGGCCACACAGCTGTGGACCTGGACAGGAGCAGCTCTTTTTGTTGTGTGAGGGCCGCACAGCTGTGGACCTGGACAGGAGCATTTCTTTTTGTTGTTTGAGGGCCACACAATTGTGGACCTGGGCAGGAGCAGCTGTTTTTGTTCTGTGAGGGCCGCACAGCTGTGGACCTGGGCAGGAGCAGTTCTTTTTGTTGTGTGAGGGCCACGCAGCTGTGGACCTTGGCAGGAGCAGTTCTTTTTGTGTTTTGAGATCTGCATGGCTGTGGACCTGGGCAGGAGCAGTTCTGACTTTACTTTGGTTCCGCACAGCTGTGGATCTGGGCAGGAGCTCTTCTTTTTGTTGTTTTAGGACAGCACAGCTTTTGACCTTGGTAGGAGCAGTTCTTTTTTGTTGCTTGAGGACCGCATAGCTGCGGACCTGGGGCAGGAGCAGTTCTTTTTGTTTTTGAGGGCTGCACAGCTTTGGACCTCGGCAGGAACAGTTCTTTTTGTTGTTCGAGGGCCAGGCAGCTTGGTACCTGGACAGGAGTCATTCTTACGTTAGTTTTAGGGCTGCACAGCTGTGGACCTAGGCGGGAGCAGTTCTCTTTGTTGTTTGAGGGCCGCACAGCTGTGGACCTAGGCGGGAGCAGTTCTTTTTGTTGTTTGAGGGCCGCACAGGTTTGAACCTGGGCAGGTGCCATTCTTTTTGTTTTTTGAGGGCCGCACAGCTGTGGACCTGGGCAGGAGCAGTTCTCTTTGTTGTTTGATGGCCGCACAGCTGTGGACATGGGCAGAAGAAATTCTTTTTGTTGTTTGAGGGCCGCACAGCTCTGGACCTGGGTGGGAGCAGTTCTTTTTGTAGTTTGAGGGCCACACAGCTGGGGATCTGGGCAGAAGCAGTTATTACTTTAGAGGACCTGACAGCTGTGTACCTGGACAGTAGCAGTTCTTTTTGTTTTTTTGAGGGCCGCACTGCTGCCGACCTGGGCAGGAGTGGTCTTTCTTTAGTCCATGCATATTGGGTTCTGTGCAGTTGTGGTTCGTACCTTAGGTTGATGGCTGCAGCTGGGTACCTGGGCAGGAGTAGTTCTTACTTTAGTTTGAGGGCTGCACAGCTGGGGACTTGGGCAGGAGGGCTCTTACTTTATTTTGAGGGCCGGGCAGCTAGGCACTTGGGCAGCAATGGTTCTTTCTTTAGTTTTAGGGCTGCACAGCTGGGGACCTGGGCAGGAGCGGTGCTTATTTCAGTTTGAGGGCTGCGGAGCCTCAGACTTGGGCAGGAGCAGTTCTTTCTTTAGAGGACCGTGCAGTTGAGTACCAGGACAGGAGTGGTTCTTACTTTAGTTTGAGGGGGCAGGAGCGGTTTTTGCTTTAGAGTCGGCGATTCCAGAGAATCCAGTGCTGCTGCTGTAGAGTAAGGATAGGTTAGCTGGAATCCTTGGGAGGAGTCAGTGATGCTGTTACGTCTGAGGTTCTTGGAGCTAAACATGGAGCCAAAGTTGGGAAGGAGAGAGAGAGAGTCACAGGAGGGCACTTGAAACTGTAGATGTAGCTGTACACCAAGCAAGCTAAGCCTGGGAGTGTCTCCGTCCTCGGTATCAATGCTTTCTCTTTCCTCCTGCACAGCTGGGATTTGTTTTCTGTCTCACAAGACAGAAAGACCCTGATCAATATCCTCGGGAATTGAAAAGCTTAAAAAAACTAAACGTTGTTGGCAATAATAATAATAGTAGAAATTTAACCAGGATTATCCTGACTGATAAAGACAAAATCACACATACACACAATATATGTCTTTTCAATAGTAAAATAAAAATAAATAGAAAAATAGGTCCAAGTAAAGCTCTATAAAGTTGTTTCATGGAGAAGGGGTGAAGGACAGAGGTGAATCTGAGAGTTGCTGCTGATGGACACACGGAGAACTTACCATTTTCCGCACGCGGTTTCAGTGTATGATGATCTTTTGTGAGACCTGGCAGCTGAGTCGCTTCACACAGCTGGGGATGCAGTGGGCGTCACAGAAGGACCCCATCGCAGCTGGTCCTGCCTCTCTGCTGTGATGAGTGTGGCCTCTGATCTCCGACAACTGACTGCGTTTTGAGGGGAGGCCAGGCCTGTGAGCACAAGGGTATCCATGGTGAGGTTCCACGGGTGGAACGTCTCGGATGTGCTTGAGGTTCCTTCCTGATGCTCATCTGCCATCTTGCTCTTTAATGCACCTTGTTTATACCTGTCTTCTCAATACTGCATAGGAAATAAGCACTTGTATAATATGGGTCAGGTATAAGGAATGTTCACACATTGGACACATGGGACCTCCACCAAGTTTAGGGAATACAATCTGAAGAAACCAAACTTTGGATGCTCCCTGGAGGCCCCTCCGAATCCCAGTCCCTTCCCTTCTCCTTCAGAGGGAGTCACTTTCTGCTTTAGTCTTTATCATTCCTGTACTTTTCTTTGTAGCGCGTTTCTTTCCCTGCATTTGTGCGCATCCTAAACAATACTGCCTGTGGTTTTTGAACACTCTTGTCTTTTTGAGATAGTGCCTTGCTCTGTTGCCTCGGCTGCAGTTTTTAACTTTGATGTGAAGAAGTCTCCTGTGTGGCTGCTTCTCTGCTGCACTGGCTCTGAGCATTTTCTCCATGTCTATTTTCATCCTCCGTTCTCTTCCTGAGACCCGTCCACACTGACCCGATTCATTTTCATTGCTGCGTGATCTCTTGTGGTGGATGGGACTGTGGGAAATGTCTTCGTTTTCCTGCTGATGAGTGTTTGGCCCGGTGGGCCCCTAGGACTGTGTTACTGTGAAGGTTCTTGGGCATTTCTTTTGTACACAAGTGCAGTTTCTTCTGGTCAGTGGCTTTCAATTTTTAAAATTTTATCCCAGTAAGAAATGTAATTTTCCTCATAACGCACGACACACACCCTTTCATAAGCAAGCATAGCAAAAATAATTCACAATCATTTTTAGTGGTGGCTGAGCATTCCTGTGGCTCTCCATTCTCCCCAACACTTGCACTGATTGTGGGATTTTTGCCAGTCTGGTGGGTGTCACCTGGTATCTCACCCTGTTAGGCTGAGACCCTCTTCATATTTTTATCAGCCATTCCTCCACATTTTTTTCTTCTGTGAAGGGCTGGTTCAACTCTTTTGCCATGTTTCTGCTTACTTGTTTAAATTTTTGCCTTTTTCTTCTATTATTACTATTATTATGTTTTTGAGATGGAGTCTTGCTCTGTCCCCCAAGCTGGAGTGCACTGGCACAATCTCAGCTCACTGCAACCTCTGCCTTCTGGGTTTAAGCGATTCTCCTGCCTCAGCCTTCCAAGTACCTGGAATTACAAGCATGTACCACAATGTCCAGCTAATTTTTGTATTTTTACTAGAAACAGGGTTTCACCATGCTGGCCAGGCTGGTCTCAAACTCCTGACCTCAGGTGGTCTGCCTGCCTCAGCCTCCCAAAGGGCTGGGATTACAGGCATGAACCACCGGGGCAGGCAGGCGGGGCTTGCAGGCTGCTGTGAGGACTTGGCTCCCTCTCTGAGGAGGGTGGGATTAGCAGAGGATTTAACCAGAGGAACCATGGGATCACCCTTATGTATTTCTGCCGTGGCTGGCTCAGCTGAATGCACCTCTTGAACAAGACTTGGCCTTGGACACCCAGAGGCCTGTGGTTGAGGGTTCCCTCCTGGCGTGGCACTGACACATCCAAGTTTGGTGCTTACACAGTGGGGCAGCCCGAGACCTGCTCTTCCTGGGCCTCTCATCCGTGGCGTTTCTCAAGTTCATCCCCTCCCAAGTCTCTCCCATCTGTAAAACCAAACACCTCTCTGCTACATGGAAACCCCCGTCAGCACCTCCCTGACTCATGGGGCATCCTGTCAGCATCACAGTCCTGACTTTCCCGCGTGGGCAAGCCCATGGGACCTCTGATGGACCAGGACAGTGCCAGCTCTGAGACATCCCCTGAAATTCACAGGAAGAGTAGACCAAGAAGACAGGACGAGCACAGGGCACAGGCAGCAGAAATGCCTGCAATACTGTCAGATATGAAGGAAGATATGGCCACGGCTGATACAAAATGCTACTCGACGTTTGTCACAGGCCTAAACATAGAACATGATGGTATAAAACCTTTAGATAAAAATGGGAAAATTTGCACAGCCTCAGGTTTGGTGAAAAGTTCTTAGACCTGACACCAAAAGCATGATTCATAAAAGAAAATATTGACCAATTAAATTTCATTATAAATTTAAAATTGTAACTCTATATAGCAATATAAGAATTTAAAGAGAATGAAAGTACAAACTATGGTCTAGAAAAAAATATTTGTGAATCACACATTTCACAACATACTGGCATGCAGAATATATGAAGAACTGTTAAAACTTAACCATAAGAAAGCGAAAACCCCAGTATAAAAGAGAGGGCAAATATTTGAATGGAAGCCTCATCAGAGAAGTCATCAGGAGGGCAGATTGCCCAGGACAGACACTCAGCATCACAGAGATGTTGGAGAAATGCTGATCAGCAGTCCCTCTGCAAATCCATTAGAATGTCTAAAAACAGAAACCAATGGCCAACCCAGGCTCTAGTGATGACACAGAGGAACTGGGACCCTCCTAAGCTGCAGTGGGAATGGTAAGGGCCCCAACATGCTGGAAAGTGGTCTGGAA